CAGCTGCCTAACTCAGGTCCTTGGGAAGGACTCAGTAGGAGGATAAAAATGCCAAATCCAGTCTAAACAACTGGCTGACTGTGCAATCAACAATAATAATAATAAATCCCTATTGACCAATTTGTAACCAGGATTCCATCAAATATTTAGGATTACAGCTCCCATTATCTCCCCTCAGGCGTTTGGGCCAGGATGATAGGTGAGCTCTTTTGGTTAGTGTGTTTGGTCACTGTCTTCTTACTGATTGTAAAACTGAATTATTCTAGACTTCTGGCACTGATTGTTTCTAGTTGCCATTTTTTACAAATCATATTGCTTTGTTGTTCTTTATTTTAATTATTAATTTTAATTTTCTGTTCCCCATCAAGAGGCACCGTTCTAAGATGGGTGGCCATATAAATTGTTAAATAAGTAAATAAATAAATGTTTCTTTGGGGGGGAAATCTTATACTTAAACATTTTAGACTGAACTGAAATATTCAGGCCATAAAATTGAATTATCGGCCGATCAGGATACAAAACAAGCAGAAAGGCAAAAAAGGATATCTACCTGTCTAACTCAGCCCCTACCCCAAAAGGAAAGCAATACAGAAACAAAGTAAAGCAATATAAACAACAAACAACAATAAAACAGACTAAAACAGAACCTTACAATCATTTGGCTTCTGAGAGGATACCCCAGCTGTTACAGGATTTGGGGGAGGACCCCCTCTTAGGGCATGGGGGGAGGGGGAATCCAAACACTTTCCAACACCAAAAAGCTTATTTATATATATTTATTTTTATTTATCTCCTGCAGATTCCTAAAACCTAAACACAGCAGTGAAGTTAGAAATTATGCCAATCCTTTACGTTTGGTTTTCCTCCCATTCATTGTAAATAAAAATGACAAGGAAGAAAATCACAGAAAATAGCTGAATAAAATGATAAAGCTAAATTACCTCCCTCTGTCTGCCAGAACAAGGTGAAAATCAGTTTTTCTCTCTTCCCCAGGACTCCTTGCTACAGGCTTAACAAGTTTTCATTTAGGGTTGCAACTATACAAAAAGACTAGTTTTCTAAAATATTAACGACAGTAAAATCTAACACAATTTATTTGGTGAATTAAAATTTCAGAATATTTAGTCTCATTGATATTAACAGTAATTTTGGAGCTGCAAATATAAGTATGGCTTCTTACATACAAAACAAGGCTATGATTAGAAGCAACTGCTGCTATAGGAACAATTTACAATATTTGAAATAAAATAGGATATAAATGTATACTTATTTTTAAACCTTTTCTATTCCATTTTATGTGATTTTTTACTTATTTAATATACTTAAATGTCATAAATTCACAGCATTTCAAGTAATTAAAATAATACTCTAGGCAAAATAATAAATGTTCTTTAAGAAAAAAGCAGGAATAAATTATCATTATCTTTTAAATAGCTTTTGTTCTGAGCATTACCTTGTATAGATTTTCTCAAAGACATCACTAGAACATCATATAACTTCTGGATAAGATCATCGATCACAGACTTCACAGGATTGCAATTCACTATGATGCAATCTACTTTCACAATGCTTCAAGGATTAGAACAAATTAATTATATTTCATATTATTATATAACATTTAAAATAAACCTAAATTGTAAAAATTTGAAGTGTTATTCATCATCATCTCTCTTATCACTGTGCATAATAAACTTTTATATATATATGTATATATATGTGTGTGTGTGTGTGTGTGTGTGCATACACACATAATAAGCTCATCCATATATGCATACAAAATAGCTTTATAATTTAATCAATCAGTTTTAAGTATTAAGATTTTTTTTATTTCACTTTTTGTATTTAAAGTGTTCAGTAATCTGATTCATTTTCTTTACTTCAATTAATCTTCCAGGAAATGTTTATTTTTTTAATTTGAGCGTTTAATCTCTTACAAAAATTGTATAAAATGCTGGTCAGTAACTATAAAAAATATACTATTCATTGGCCTGGTTGAGAAATAACATCAAATCATAACTGTTTGTTATAGCAAATCTAAACTTCCCCAAGACAAGCCTCTGGCTAATACAAGTTACCTTCCTTCTGCTCCAGCTCAATGCATAAAAAGTAATGATTAAATGTTTTGCCACTGCTTCTGCAGAAAGTCCTTTATATTCAAATTCTGGTTTGATAACTTGGTTTATAAGTAACCAGAGTTAAGATCAACCATATTTTCCTATTTTCAGATGTAATGAGATATATTACCAGTCCCAACTTTTGGAGTCAGGGGCTCCATGTAGACTAATTCTCAATCCCCATTTTTTTTTCTTTTTTCTCTGAGCAGCTGGGCATGATTACAAATGAAGCACTGGGGGCAGCACATTACTATTTTTATTTTTTAAAACCACTTATAAAGCCTCTGCGTAATCCAACGGCTTTCTGCAAAATAAAGGTGACTGAAGGCTGATCATTTGCTTATAGCTTATAGATCTGTCTATATTCTAGTAACTCCCATTTTCCATTTTGGACTGCCACAGATGATGAATAAGTCTATCTAATCTGCTAACGTTTCACACAGCAAACTGTTAGGTCTCAAATAACACTTTTTTTTAATTAATAGAGACTGAGGATATGGACAAGATTTTTGGGAATACAAGACCCGCCAGATGTTCCCTGAGTTTTGTACCTTCAAAAACACTATATTGGAATAGATGGTCTTCAATAATCTTATCCTTCACTCTTATTTATAGAACTATTGAAGTTGTATATATTTATCACAAATTCTTTCAAGAGCGTGTGCAATGATAGCCATGAGATTAACTGAACATCCCAAGGTCATTTCAGCTTAACCAAAGCAACAAGTTTTTTCAGATAAAAGGAAGGAGTTTGTACATAATACTGAACATTTTGAGAGAAAAGAAAAAGGAAGTTAACTTGGAAAAAACCTTTGAAATTCCACTAAAAGTTATTATTATTATTTATTATTATATTTTTATCCTGCCTTTATTTTTATTTATGTAAAACCCTATGGGTGGTACATGTCTTCCTCAATCTCAGGTTCTCTACCAGAGGCCTGGGAGTTTGAGGGTTCTGCGCAGTA